TCTATGGCAGAATCTCTCCCCTGTCCTGCCCTGACCTGGCCACTTCTGCCACTTCTGTCTATAACAGTTCACTCTCATCCACACTGGACTCACTTGCTCCTCTAACAACACAAAGTATCAGGCCCTGACCATTACAACCGTGGCAGACTGACACCAGAAATCTTAAGAACATAGTCGTGCACTTGAGCGATTGTGGCATAAAATCAAATCCCAGCAAGTATTCACCCTATATAAATCTTCCTGCTTCTTTGTCAAATCCCAAAGAAGCAGGATGCTTTGACAAAGAGCAGAATGCTTTGAAACGCATTATCCCATTGGTGAATGTGAGTTCCTGGGTCCTCTACCCTTCACCATAGCCACTGAGCCACCAAGCTGCTGAGCAGCTGGTCTTTTAGCCGAGCGGCAACATCTCCTGTCATCTACGGTGCCTCTGATGCCGTCATCTCTGGGCTCCGGGACCCCACATGATACGTCCATTTCCTCGAGTCTCTCTGGACTTTACACAGAGACCGATATAGATTGATCTACAATGGATGGTTCATTGACATGATCCATGTGCATTTCCCAGCTGGTATATGTTCATTGACTTCCATTCTTACATCTATACCGGAACTTAACCAGTGTGCTGAAGGAGCTAAAGGACCTTGTCTACATGATTTTATTGTCTCTATACAAGTTGGTAACTGGTTTATCTATAAAACCTTTGAACATGGCACTTGGATGCCTTTGGAATAACTTTCTACCAAGTCTATATACCCCTGGATTGTTAGTGCACTGCATATCAATCCCTCGGCTGGACTTAGCATATTCCAATCCCACTATACAAAACCACCCTCAACACTTTCCTCTTTTGACCTTGCTACTACCAAAGAGGTCACAAAAGTTTTCTCAGAAGCCCATCTTACCACCTGTCCCCTGGATGCTGTTCCCTCTCAGTTACTATGGTCACCCTATTCTTCTATCCTTTGCTCCCTCACTCACATCTTCAATCTCTCTCTCTCTCTCTACTGGCACCTTCCCCTCCCCTCTAAAGCATGCACACATCACTCCCATACTTAAGAAGCCCTCGCTGGACCCCACCAACCTGAACAACTTAAGACCCATCTCCCTGCTCCCGTTTACCTCTAAACTCTTAGTCTACAATCGCTTGAGCTCCTACCTCACTGACAACAACCTCCTTGACCCTTTACAGTCTGGCTTTTGCTCACAGCACTCCACTGAAACTGTCCTACTAAAACTCACTAATGATTTACTAACTACTAATACCAATGGCCACTACTCCATAGTCTTACTACTTGACCTCTCTGTGGCTTTTGATACTGTTGACCATCCATTCCTCCTCAAAAAACTCCACTCTCTTGGCCTCCGAGACTCTGCTATCTTCTGGTTCTCCTCCTACCTATCGCAGTGCTCCTTCAGCGTTACCTATAACTCAGTTTCCTCCTCTCCACCTCCTCTTTCTGTAGGGGTCCCTCAAGGTTCTGTCCTTGGACCCCTTCTCTTCTCCATCTACACATCCTCCCTTGGTCATGATTAACTCTCATGGCTTCAAGTACCATCTCTATGCTGATGACACACAAATCTATCTCTCTACTCCTCTTCTCAACCCTTCAGTCTTCTATTGCATTACTAACCTACTAAGTGACATATCGGCATGGATGTCACTCCACTTGCTCAAACTCAATCTTTCTAAAACAAAGCTCTTAATATTCCCTCCAGCCCGTGCCCCTCCCCTGACTTCTCCATCACAATCAATATATCAACCATCAGTCCCTCTCCTTATGTCAGGGTATATAAGGTGTAACCCTAGACACTGATCTGTCATTTCAGCCCCAAATCCAATCACTGTCCAAATCTTGTAGACTTCACCTCCGCAACATCTCCAAGATACGGCTGTTCTTAACAATTGAAACCACTAAGCAACTTATTCACTCCCTTGTTATCTCTCGCCTTGACTATTGTAACTCCCTCCTCATTGGTTTACCTCATCACAGGCTATCCCCTCTTCAGTCTATCATAAATGCTGCTGCCAGACTCATCCACCTTACTAACCGTTCCATATCTGCCATCCCTCTCTGCCAATCCCTCTACTGGCTTCCCATTGTCCAACCAATAAAATTCAAAACATTAACAATAACGTATAAAGCCATTTATAACTGTGCCCCAAATTACATCACCAATCTTGTCTCCAAATATCACCCAAACCGTACTCTTCGCTCCTCCCACGACCTCCTGCTCTCTAACTCCCTTGTCTCCTCCTGTCATGCTTTTCTCCAGGATTTCTCCAGAGCCTTCCCCATCCTCTGGAACTCTCTACCCCAATTTGTCAGACTAGCACCTACTCTACCCACATTTAGGCAATCCCTGAGAATCTCTTCAGGGAAGCCTATCCTTCCTTCAGCTAATAAACAAATCTTCTATCTTCTATCTTCTATCCCCACAGTTATTACCTCTTGTACCACCAGTTCCCCCCTATTAGACTGTAAACTCCGAGGAGCAGGGCCCTCTTAACCCTCTTGCATTGAACTGTATTGTTGCTGTATTGTCTCCCTTAATATTGTAAATCGCCGAGCAAAACTCTCTTGGCGCTATATAAATCCTGTATAATAACTGATTTGCTGCTGCCATATAGTAGAAATACTGCTACAGAGCAGCATGGATGCTCAAAAATCACACACACATATATATATATGTAATTTTGCATTTTCGGCTAGGGCGCCCTACCGCACCGCCATTGGCAGCCTCACCTGTCGCTCACCAGGACACAGTCGGTTATTCCCCGCTGGCACCGGCGATCACCGTGTATCATTGATGGGGGAGAGATCTGTATGTAAACAATACAGATCTCTCCCCTGTCAGCTCCTGCACACTGCTTTGTATTGCTCTGCATAGAAGAACAATACAAAGCAGTGTGCTTACACAGTAAAGCACAGCACACAGTTAACACTTTGATCGCCCCAGATGTTAAACCCCTTTTTGCCCAGTGTCATTAGTACAGTGTCAGTGCTTTTTATTAGCACTGATCACTGTATTAGTGTCACTGGAGTTGTCAGTGATAGTAAGTTCCCCCCCAGTGTCAGAATGCCTGCCGCAGTCCCACTATAAGCTGCTGATCACCGCCATTACTAGTATAAAAAAAAAATCCCAGTATCTATACCGCCATTTGTAAACGGTATAACTTTCACGTAAACCAATTTACACGTATTGGGATTTTTTTTAGCAAAGTCATGTAGCAGAATACATTTTGGCCTAAATTTATGATGAAATTTGATATTTTTAGATTTTTTTACTGAACATGTTTTATAGAAAAAATATTGTTTTTTTCTCAAAATTGTCGGTCTTTTTCTTTTAATAAAAAATAAAAACCGCAGAGGTGATCAAATACCACTGAAAGAAAGCTCTATTTGTGCAAAAAAAGGACATACATTTCACTTGGGTGCAGCGTTGCATGACTGCGCAATTGTCAGTTGTCCTCCTCTGGAGGGCAAGTGGATAATATTTGGCGGCCATGCTGGAATTTGTAGTAGTTCGCCTGCAGCCTTCTGTGTGTCTACCTGACTCCGTTGCCTCTTTATTAAGTTACATAATATTTACAGCTGACTTTATGATGACATTCCTTCCCGTTACATTGTATCACCTGTGCCCCAGCTGTTTCATTTTTCCCTTCACAAGAGCTCGATATAGCTTTCATAGCTGTCTCTATCTAGCGGCGCCATTTTCCATAGTCAACTACTGTGACACAATGATTACTGTTCTCCAATAATATGGCCGCCCCCCAGACAGCCGCTCACTATTCTGCAGACACATTTTAAGAAGACGCGCTAAATGGCGCACGGAATGCCGGTACATGTAGTGTGAGGTTCTAAAGTGCTCTGCCCCACCCCCTGGTTACTGGCCAGACTGGTTTACCCAGCAGCCTCCGTTCTGAGTTGGATGACGCAGAAGCAAAGCGCAATGGCTGCTGGGGTTGTAGTTGGAAAGCGGTGCCAGCCTGTGTTGTGGGGGCAGAGGGAGACTACATTTCCCATCATGCCAGGTGTCACTTCCTGTGTAATGAGCCTTTAAAAGAGTCAGCTGCGAGATTGTAAACAAAGTCAGTTCTTCCCTGCTGGGCCTCTCTCGAGCTGCCTGGTTTCCGAAGAAAGGGGCGTAACTGCTCATTCAGGGTCCCGAGCTTTATAAACGATCCTTCCAGAGGTTTTATGGCCAGTGTTCAGTTCTAGTGGGTTTATAGGGGGGAAGCTAGTCACTGTATACAGAGGCCTCTCATCTGAACCAGGAGCAAGGTGAGGTTGTCAGGGGCCAGCCATCTGAACCAAGGGTCTCTCATCTCAACCTAGGGAACGCCAGAAGTGACAGCTGCCTGTCATTAGATCTAGGGGCCTACCAGAGGTGCCAGGAGCATGTCATCCGACCCAAGGGCCCCTCATCTGATCTAAGGGCCTGCCAGAGGTGCCAGAAACATATCAGACTGAAGAGCCCTTATGTGATCCAAGGTGACAAAAGCCAGACATCATATCTATGGGCTCAGCATAGGTGCCAGGAGCCTGTCATCAGATCCCTCTGCCTGAAGCTGCATGCAGAGACAGATGAATTGAGGAGCAACTACTACTTCAAAACCAAGCTTTTTGCACCTAAGGATTCCAGGGACCCCTGATCTAGGGGTCTACAAGAACTGCCAGGAGTAAGTCATCAAGTCCAGGGTTCCCTCATCGGACTGAAGGGTCTACCAGAGTCTTCTAGTAGCCAGTCAGATCCAAGGGCCCAGCTTCAGACGTACAGGGGCAGACATCCACTTCAACAGCCAATACAGGTTCCAGGAGACCAGCTTGTGATCTAGAAGTTCAGGGGCCCTTTATCTGACCCCCCCCCCTAAAGGTGTTAGGGTAGCCCACATTCTTACAGCAAGAGCCCATTGCATTTATCTGATTGTTGGGTGTCTCTGTAAGTCTAGGGGCCTAGCTCATCCGATTTGCAGTTCCCTCTTTGGTGTCAAGAAGATGGAAGACAACAAGGTGAGACTTCATCTTATGTCAGCCATAACAAACCGTTTTTTTTTTTGTTATGTAACAGTGGTATTAATATAAGGATTGTATTTTTCAGAAAATTATTTTCTAAAATTATTTTAATTGATGAACAATCGACTTTCATTTGAAACAGATGATTGGCTCTGATAGAGTCAGGGTTTCCAAGTCTATTACTAATTAATGGGAGATTATGGGAATAGCTAGGTTTCAACTGACTTTTTAAAGTGGAACTTTGGTCAGAAAATTAATTCCTGCTAGATCACTTCAGGCTGGCCCCTTATGCAGGTATAGCTATGTAAAACATTAAAAATAAGTGCCTATACCATTTCAAATCCAGTAATACACTGTCTCACCCTGCTCTGCACATGCTCATGTGCTCTCTATCTTTAGGCACTGTGCTGAAAATGAGAGCTACTAGAAGCTGATCTGCTGACAATCTAAAGATTTACTGCTACTCTGGGCTTCAGCAAAATGGCAGCCTCCAGCAAGAAGAAACTGGAACGATTCTGGAGGAAATTTACACTCCATGCTAATTTTGGTAGCAGAATTATAAAGCCTCATGTGCACTGCTGCTCCTAAACACAAGTTTAGGAGCTTTGGCGGGTTTTTTTTTTTTTTTTTTTTTCGCGCCAAAGCATCTGAACTTAACTCAATAAAAGCCTATGTGTCCATGTACGCATAGGATTTTAGCGGAGTTTAGGGGCAGTTAAATGTTCCTCTTCTGAACGCAGAAGAATCTCGTTCAGGAGAGGAAAATTTTGGCTAAAAACCGCTAAGCGCAGCAAAAACGCGTGGAAAAGTGGCTAAACATGTATAAATGCTAGTGTTTGGGTTTTTATCCATGTCAATGGAAAATACTCTGGCCAATCAAATGAATAAATGTCCAAGCAGTATCGCATTTACGCGCATTTTTTGCAGCATTTCGTTTTTTCTATTACCAGGAGAGCTTAACGTCTAGGGGAGTTTGTTGCATAGGGATAACTATGATCCTTACTGAGTCACATATGTAGAGTATTTATAAGATGGCTATATATACTCCATTTTGTCTCATCAGAGATGCTTCAAGTTGTTTACTGCAAATGACACACATATCTAAATTGTAACTGGGCCAGCAGGCTTGTGTAACGTTTTTATGGGGAGCATCCGCTTTGGTCCTTTTAATGTGATCTGTTGCTATTTGATACAAAAGGCTATAGAAGCAGAGAAGAACTCTATGGAAAGTGGAATACAGTGAGGGTGGACACTGTATTATCCTTGTATGTATATGCAACAATAAATATAATTCAGAGTCTTAACTCGTCTGCAGGTGATTATTCACATTTCCTTAAAAATATAGGGACTTGAGCAAGAGGTACAATCCTCCCTATACAATGTGTACATGAGGCCTTAATGTAAAATGTATGTTCTTTGCTAAAGAACATTGATTTTTTTTTTTTTTTTTTTTTTCCCCAAGTTGTTATGGGTAAAGTTCCAATTTAAAGAAAACCTTTTACTCTGCCCTGACATTGCAGAGGTCTGCTGTTGTCAGTGAAGTAATAAATCTTTCTCCTGGCAGATATCTGGCGGTAAGGTGAAGAAACCTGGTAAACGAGGGAGGAAACCTGCTAAGATTGACTTGAAGGCAAAGCTGGAACGCAGCCGGCAGAGTGCACGGGAATGCAGGGCCAGGAAAAAACTGCGCTACCAGTACCTGGAGGAGCTAGTGTCCAGCCGAGAGCGAGCCATCTGTGCACTGAGGGAGGAGCTAGAGATGGTAAGTAGATTCTTTATAATGACACTTCTGGCTGTGTTGGAACACAAAACAGACAGGGGCAAAGCTGTTGACATAGAACCAGTCTGATGTAATTAGTGTCTCTGCTCCTATCAAAACAGTGAGATTTCACTGCAGTAGTTCGTGTTTCTGCCCTTCCAACAATGGTGAGATTTCCTGCAGTAGTTCATGTTTCTGCCCTTCCAACAATGGTGAGATTTCCCTGCAGTAGTTTGTGTCTCTGCCCCTCCCACAATGGTGAGATTTCCCAACACTAGTTTGGGTCTCTGCCCCTCCCACAATGGTGAGATTTCCCAACACTAGTTTGGGTCTCTGCCCCTCCCACAATGGTGAGATTTCCCAACACTAGTTTGGGTCTCTGCCCCTCCCACAATGGTGAGATTTCCCAACACTAGTTTGGGTCTCTGCCCCTCCCACAATGGTGAGATTTCCCTGCAGTAGCATACATCTTTGCTCCTCCCACAATGGTGGGATTTCCCTGCAGTAGTTTGTGTCTTTGCTCTTCCCACTATTGTGAGTTCCCCTCAGTAGCTTGTGTCCGTTCCCCTCCCACATGGAAGGTAGGTAGCTTCAATAATAATCCAGCAGGGAGAGAGATGTGACAGTTTGCTAGGACATGCAGTTGGATGTACATGTCTTCTCATTGTGCCATTTTTACATTTTTGACTCCGAGGTGGGACGTAAACATACACCACATTTGGAAATGACCAGAATCTGTCATGATTTCTGCTGCACTGTAGTGTCCTCCTTTGCTGACAGGAAAAAAATAGTTTGCTTCTTTTCCTGTGTACATACGCATGTCTGCATCAGAACTGTTTTTTCTGTCTCCTTACAAGTCAATAAGAATACATAAAATAATTGAAACCCCTCAAATGCAAACTTTAATGTACCTGAACATTCTGCAATTTCCCATCTTTATTAGCCCTGACTAGCAAAGCTATGCTTCTATAGGAATGTATGCAGCTGTTGACAGCCACTGAGGACCTACATTGAAGCAGAACTCTAAATATAGGAAGTTCAGCTCCTCTTTCCCCCTCTGCCAATGTTATTATTTTTTTTTTTTTTTTTTCAGGGAGCTGGCACCTGTTTCTGACAGGTATACGTGTTCCCACTTTTTTGCTCTTCTCACCTAGGAAGTTTGTCCCTTTGCAGCCTCCTGGGACTCTTTGCACATCCCAGGAGGCTGTGGGACCACCTGGAAGTACAGTGGGTCTCACATGCACAGTGGGAAGCTGGCAGTAAAACTGCAGGAAGTCACAGCCAGCTTCTCACAGCTAAATTGGTGCCAGGGACCCAAAGCCAGGTGAACACAGTGCTGGGTTTCCAGACTGGTGAGTACCTGTTCTTTAAAAGTCAGCAGCTACAGTATTTGTAGTTGCTGACTTTTTTTTTTTTTTTTTTTTTTTATATGACCATATATAATGTTCAAGACAAGGGGGATGGCAGAATTGGGGTTGGGGAGCGTGCTCTTGAGATTCTACAATCTAAAAGCTAGGGGCAAGTGATACAAAAGGGATGAGTTGGAGAAAGTAGATGTTCACTTGTTGGGTAGAGGCAGGATAGGAGTTTTTAGAGATCATAGAAAGGCAGACAAGAGTAGGAGAAATCCAGAAAGATTGAGGTAGGGGAGAGAATAGCTTTGTGGTGCAATTGGTTAAGAAGGGTTGAATTTTAGAAATGATAGAGGTGAAGGTGGCAATATTTGGACAGCAATTGGATTAAAGGCTAAAAGGACAGGCCAGAGTCCAGGATTACATCTAGCACCCTGGCATAAGGGGAAGAATTGAGATCTAAATTAAAGCTGAAGTTTAGGTATGGATATGTTTGCATAGCTATCATGGCTTTTAAAGTGTCACCTATAAAAAAAAAAAAATTAACAATTTCCAAGACACACACAAATTTGAGTTCTATATACTAGCCCCAATGCTTGGTAGTTGCAATATTTACTCCAAATGTTGCATTTGATAAACTGCTGCACAAATACTGTGTGTAGCAATTGCCACCATTTTTATTCTACAGGGCCTATATATTGTCTGGGGGCTGTGCTATCATAAAATATATAATGCCTGGGTGTTCTAAGTAAGTTTGTGGAAAGGGGAAAAAATAAAAATATGTACCTGTCTCCTCTCATCTGTCTTATAGTATAAGCAGTGGTGTACAGTGATGGACCAAGGTAAAATCCCATCCGAGATCCGAGCGTTGCTGAGCGGGGAGGACCTTAACAAACCGGCACCAAATTCTAGCAAGCAGCACCGAGTCATCAAGACTGAACCTGCAGACAAATAACCAGTGTGTATCCTGTTCAGGTTTGGGGTGAAGGATTTCCAACAGGGAAGGAGTGGGGGGGGGGATACAGGAGAAGCAGCAATATCAACCAGTAGACATGAGCCAGAGAAGCTTACATAGAATGTCTTACCATAGTCGCACACTAAATTTATATAGCTCTTGACATATCCAGCTTAGATGTACAGAGAACACTGAGCCCTCGCATCAGTCTCTGCACCAGAGATTAAACTCTAGTGTCCCCACCACAGTCACACTTTATTAATATTATTATTAATACATTTATGTAGTTCTAAGGTATTCTGCATTGCCAAACCGAGAATACTGAGTCAGTCACATAATGTTCTGCATCAGAAGAGCTTACTCTCTTATTCCCACTGCGATCACATTATTTTTATTAATGATATCGTAATTAATAAACATTTATACAGCTCTGACATATTACTCATAGCTGTACAGAGAACACTGAGCCATTCTCCTCAGTTTCTGCACCAGAAGAGCTTACATTCTAGTGTTCCCACCACAGATAATTAATATTATTATTAGCTTTATATAGCTTTGAGGTATTCTGCAGTGCAATACAGTGAACACTGGGACAGTCACATCCGTTTCTACACCAGAGGAGCTTACACTCTTTTATCCCCTCTACAATTGCATTGTTATTATACATTTATTTAGCTCTGACATATTCCTCATTGCTTTACAGAGAACACTGAGCCATTCACATCAGTTTCTGCACCAGAGGAGATTACTCTGTCTCACCACAATTACACACTAGCATTTACTACAGTAAAGGAAATAAGTATTTGATCCCCTACTGATTTTGAATGTTTGCCCACTCACAAAGAAATGATCAGTCTAAAAATCGAATGGTAGGAGTAACACAGAGACAGAATAGCAACAAAAATTAAAAAGAAATGCATGTCTAACATGATGCACTGATTTGCATGTTCATGAGGGAAATAAGTATTTGATCCCCTATCATTCAACAGGATTTCTGGCTACCAGGTGTCTTTCATACAGGTAACAAGCTGAGATTAGAAGCAGTCTCTTAAAGGGAGTGCTGCTAATCTCATTTTGTTACCTGTATAAAAAGACAACTGTCCACAGGCGCAATCAAACAATCAGATTCCAAACTCTCCACCATGGCAAAGACCAAAGAGCTGTCCAAGGATGTCAGGGACAAGATTGTAGACCTACACAAGGCTGGACTGGGCTACCAAACTATTGCCAAGCAGCTTGGTGAGAAGGTGACAACAGTTGGTGCAATCATTTGCAAATGGAAGAAACACAAAACAACTGTCAGTCTTCCTAGGTCTGGTGCACCGTGCAAGATCTCACCTCGTGAAATGTCATTGATCATGAGAACAGTGAGGAATCATCCCAGTACTACACGTGAGGAGCTTGTCAATGATCTCCAGGCAGCTGGGACCACAGTCGCCAAGAAAACAATTGGTAACACACTACGCTGACGAGGACTGAAATCCTGCAGTGCCTGCAAGGTCCCTCTGCTCAAGAGAGCACATGTCCAGGCCCATCTGAATGATGCAGAGGAGGACTGGTTGAAAGTGTTGTGGTCAGATGAGACCAAAATCGAGCTGTTTGGCATCAACGCAACTCGCCGTGTTTGGAGGAGGAGGAATGCTGCCCATGACTCCAAGAACACCATCCCAACTGTCAAACATGGTGGCTCAAGAAGAAGCACATTAAAGCGGAGTTCCACTCGACCTATAAAATAAAAAAAGTTAGCAGCTACAAAAACTGTAGCTGCTGACTTTAAAAAAAAAAAAAAAACAAAACAGCCACTTACCTGTCCCTTGGTCCCTTGGTGTGTCCCCTGGAGCTCGCTTCACCGGCTGTCCTTGATTCCAGGAGGCCAGCATCTTCAGTGTGGGCACCTGGCTGTGATAGCTTGCGGCTTCACAGCCGGGTACCTACTGTGCATGCGCGAGTAGCGCTGTGCTGCTTGAATGGTCCTGTAGTCTTCTGGGACCTGTCACGTGTCCCAAAAGACTACAGAGAGGGAGGAAGGACACCTTCTGTTTCCAATCGGACCGGAAGTGGGAGCAGGTGCCTGTCATCCTCCAATCCCCCCCCCGCTCCCCAAAGGTGCCAATCCTTAATGGGGAGCGGGGGAGCAGTCCATAAAGCGGAACTTCCCCTTTTGGGTAGAGCTCCGCTTTAAGGTCCTGGAGTGGCCTAGCCAGTCTCCAGACCTTAATCCGATCGAAAATCTGTGGAGGGAGCTGAAAGTTCGAGTTACCAAACGTCAGCCACCAAACCTTAATGAGGAGTGAGCCAAAATCCCTCCTGAGATGTGTGCAAACCTGGTGGCCAACTACAGGAAACGTCTGACCTCTGTGATTACTAACAAGGGATTTGCCACCAAGTACTAAGTCATGTTTTGTGAAGGGGATCAAATACTTATTTCCCTCATGAACATGCAAATCAGTGCATCATTTGTTAGACATGCATTTCTTTTGAATTTTTTGTTGCTATTCTGTCTCTTACAATACACCTACCATTCGATTTTTAGGCTGATCATTTCTTTGTGAGTGTGGTGGGCAAACATTCAAAATCAGAAGGGGATCAAATACTTATTTCCTTCAGTGTATGTTCTATAATTACAATAACTTTTTTAGAGCATTCTTGTAATTTAAGTATTCACATTTGTATTTTTATAGGTGCATCCCAAAAAAAATTTGAAGCCGGACATGCCCAACATGCCGACCGCTGTGTGATGCAAAGGAACCAAGAGTTAGGACAGCTCTGCCCTTACTCGGAGGCTTTCGACAGGAGTCCTGACCTCACATGTGGGATAAAGCCTCTTACCCACAATCCTCTTGTGTTTGTGACTGTCACCATCCTGTGCGCAGCTAAGACAAGACAGCAGTATATACGTTCTATTACAGTCATCTGCATTTAGAGATGTAGCGCTTATATCTGTTTAGTTTTTGAAACAAGCACTAACCCTTGCAGCGCCAAAGGAGTCAACGCACAGTTGTTTCACCCAGTGTGCAACCCAGTTGTACAGCACAGAGGAACTGTTGGACCAAATAATTTCTCCGTGACCGCACCAGTAAGCCACATGAGGCACACGCACTTTGCCCTTAGCTGTTTTGGTGGGAGCATTATCGCTGCTCAGACTGCACCCTTGCTTGTATGGCTTATCTTATTTCCTGTTCTCTGGTGTAAGACAGCGACGAACTTTAAAGAACTCTCTGATCAGGGGTGCCCAGGAGAAAAAAAAACTTCACGGGGCAAATATGATTCTAACTCAGGAAAAGTGACCTTACTGTGCATGTATGGCATCTTAGAGCTATAGGCACGCCATCTTGCTGAACAGAGTATGGGAAGGTTTTGCGCACTTTTTAAATGCCATGTTTTTCGTGATCTGAAAACACCTAGAATAACTAGTAGTAATTAGCCACATTCACCTGGACTTATTCTGTAATTTTGAAGACATTTTGTAGCTTTTACAAGCCGCTTCTTATGAGTGTCAGGAAACAACATTTTATTATCACACATCTCGTCTCTGACATCAAGGATAGGGTTTATAACTACTAAAACAGGGTGTTACTGTTACGGCCCCTCCTGTTCTTGGACAATCGACATCTGCCTCGACTCATTCCTTAGCGATTGGGGTCTGTGCGTCGTGTGGATATAAATGTTAAGGCATGTTCCTGACACTTGTTAAAACTGACAAAGTGATTTTTACGTGAACTACAAAATATCTTCAATAATGCAGAAGAGGTGCAGTGGAATGTAAATAACTACTACTAGGTATACCATGCCCTTGATAAATAAGAACCTTTTCAGACACCCAGAATAATGATAAAATATTTATTTTTGCTAACTAATTCGTAATGTTGTCCAACATCCCCAACCAACTTTGTTTTCCAAGCATTAGTGGGCCCACCCTAGCCTGATATGTAAGTATTTAGAGTAGGCACACTGCCCCTAGGTGTCTAGGAACTACAAAAACCTGCATGTTTTATGACTGGCAGGGAATGCTGAGAGCCTGAGACGTGTTTGCTTTTTTTTTTTTAAAATGATCAAGATCTGGAATGTTCATGTTTTAGTTGCCTTCTTTAGCACTTTACATTCAGGAGCTCATTGGTTTGGTTTTGTCCTGTACAGACCACTTAAAGGGACCCTGTTGCAAGACCACGTCAATAAAAGCTTCCCATAAGGTTATGTGCGTATGCACCATCCATACACAAATGCCTCAGGTATTTTGCAGTGGCAGCCACAGAAGGAGCTGTAGAGTAGCATTGGAGAGGTGATTATAAGATGGCCGAGAGTGGGGTATAAAATAAATCTCCTTCACTTTGTTTTGGACAATGAACAAATGACTGTCTTTTTAAATCACCCCTTTAGCTTCATCTATGATTTTCAACTCAAGTAGTGATTTTTTTTTCTGTCCTGATTTACAGATGCTTTTACCAGTCATGGCCCTTAAAAGGGACTCTGAAGCTCTTCATTGAATGTTTCATGTTTTACATCATGGTACATGCCAAAAGAGAATAGAGAATCCTGGGAGGTGGAAAAGAGCTGACAAATTTGGTGGGGAAATCTCACTTTTTCAGTTCTTGCAAATCAGAAAAGGCCAATGGTTAATTGCACCTACCAGAATACACCTGTAACTCAAATGCCAGTTTTAGGTGGAATGACCCAGGGGTTATGGCAGGATTATGACTTGCAGCTCATGCAGTCCATCATTGATCTTTGTTGTTGTTTGATAGAACAGTGTTGAATTGTTGGGGAAAATTCTGATTTAACATTGCTGAGCTCTAATAAAAATGTAAATGACCTGCAACATACTGTGTGTTTATTGCTGAGTGCAGATCTGAAGTCCGAGCAATGACTGAGAATCTGGTGTAATGTTAAAGCTGAAGTTTAATCTGCATGTTTTCTGTCTTTCACGGGTTGTCCTCCTCACCCCTCATCAACATACTAATGAAAATCTTTTCTATTGACATTATATATTACACTGTCTGTGTATCTGCTTGTTTGTACATCACGTACGGGCAAGCCTCTTCTGACAGGAAGAGTCAAGGAACTACCACAGCGCTGTGGTAGTTCATTGAGACCTACAAGCTGATAGCTGCTACGGCTGTCATGATTTGTAGTCCATTCATTCACAGAACACTGTGAATGAATGACGACTGCTGTGTGGGCGGAGCCCTGAACGCCTGTGATGTTTTTAAAAAGTGACAGCTAGTATGGGGAACTTCTCCCTGTACTGCTGTCTCGGGGTGGGGGGGAGAATTGAGTGGTGGCTTCAGGAATATATTACATGGTCCACCCTAAAAATGGGTGAAATATGTAACATGTTCCCAAAAGTGAACTTATCCTTTAAATCTGTGAACACATTACCAAAACAACCAGTAGTTCAAAAGCAAATGGTGTGTGTTTGATTCTAACTGCATTTACTTTTTACATAAAATAATGATTTATTTATTTATTTATTTTGTGTGTGTTTTTTATTTTTTTTTTTTTTTCTCTTTAAAGTTTTATTTTGTGGTCACTTGTCCACACAGTTTCCCTTTGCTCCCTTCTTGCCTATAATGATCAGGTCTGTATAGCAAGCAGGCGTTCAGAGTATGATGCCATACACAAACAGTATACAACAATATACACTAACGAACCCAACTTCCTACTACGTGGTTTATGCCAACTCTGCAAAGTTGACTACAGGAGATGCAGGCACACTATGCAGGGATGCAATTTGAGCATGCTTCTGGTCAGTTTGAAACAAAAACCAAGGGGAAGCAGCAGGATCTTCTGATATTTCTGCGTTAATGAAAAACGAAATAAACAGGCTGGATTTACCATTAACAATCTGAAAGCATAGACACATACTGTATTGTGTTATATATGTGAATTAAAGGTGACATACACTTTAAGGGTAACTTACCTAATAAGTATTTGTTAGGGCTGAAGCTTATTTTATTTGTATTTATTTTTTTGGTGTGATTAAAGAGAGTATTGGTATTATTAAAGAGGGGGAAGGGCAAGGAAGAGTGATAAGAGCTAAGACTGGTAAGAGCAGGGAAGACTAAGGGCGGTTTTGTTTTTTTAATGCCCTTGAACAAAGCTCTACATTAGCCAGTGTGTCCATACACATTGTGGCATTTAGATTCATACAGCGTATGTCCACGCAAGGACCATGTTTACATGCAGGTACTACCATTCATGTCATTTGGCTGCACGGATACAGCTGCTGCTCCCAATTTGACATTGGTGTAGGTGCACATCCCCAAATGCAAACAGTGCATGTTTGGGGCCATGCACCTGCACAAGTGTCAAATTGGGAGCAGTGTTCACTAAATGGGACATGAATGAGGCTGCCTGCATAGGGATGCACGCTACACTTGTGCATCCCTGTGCGGGTAAACACGGCTCTCACACAGTGTGCCTAGTTGCATGAGGCCTTAATGCCCAAAACCTGCTTTTATAGAGAAGGGTTTGGGCATAATTTATGCATATACACACAAACGCACATAAACAAGTGTGTATGCACAAAAATGTAATTCTAGTTGCTAGAATAAATAAGTATTTTAGCCACTAGACAGCGTAAATGTGATTTTTTTTTTTTTTTTTTTTTATATGCCCGTGTGCATGCAGTCTTACAAATTATAACAAGCACCAGGGGGAAACCTAAACTCCATCTTACATCCTGTGTCTTTCTTTTGTAATATTTATGGGTTTGACTATCCCAGAGTTTGGCTTTAGTTGAGACATGATTAGAGTGTGCCAAAACTGTACATCCAAAACATCTGATCCAGAACTATCCAGTGATAAACTGATATGAAGTGGGAAATCAATGTGATACTTTTATACAAAGTTTCAGACCACAAATTCTGAAATGTAACAATATTAAAATGTCAGTTTGTCTGCAGCAGCCAAAGCCAGTCCCCCAGATGTTTCCAGAGTGATAGGCGCGGCTGTGTGTGTGCGCGCTTCACCTCTCCCTGCGGATTCCTCGCAGGGAACGCTGCGCCCACAACTCTGACTAATTGGCAATTAGCGATAGGAATGACTATCAATAAGAGGTCTGGATCTAATTAAATCAGCACGTCAGGTACAGCACAGACAGAGAGGAATCATCCCCCGGAGAAATGTCATCTCTACAACACAACTGCAGGAAGAGGCGCTCATTAGAACCGCAAGACAAGTACGTTCACCTGGCACACGT